ATTTTCACGATCGGGGCTTTTTTGCGCAAAACAAATCTCAGCTGTCTACACTGGCCCTTTTGCACAAAAGTTTTGCGCAAAAGGGACTTTTGCCCGAACGGGAGCAGCATAGTATTTCCGCAAAAAGCACTGATTTCTTACAGTAGGAAGTCAGTGCTTTTGCAGAAATTCAAGCGGACGGTGAAGACAGTTGGCAAGTTTTTCCGGAAAAGCGGCTGATTTTCCGGAAAAACTTGCCAGTCTAGACACAGCCCCAGTGTTTAACCACCCTGGCAGGCAGGAAGTTTTTCCTAATGTCCAACCTCAACCTCCCTTGCTTCAGTTTAAGCCCATTGCTTCTTGTCCTGTCCTCAGAGGCCAAGGAGAACAATTTTTCTCCCTCCTCCTTGTGGCACCCGTTTAGGGACTTAAAAACTGCTGTCATGTCCCCTCGCCGTCTTCTCTTTTCTAAACTAAACAAGCCCAGTCCCTTCAGCCTTCCCTCCTAGCTCATGTTCTCTAGACTTTCCATCATTTCTGTTGCTCCTCTCTGTCATGTTGTTGTTCTTACATTCTTCTCGTAGGTATGAAGAGGAAATCAACAAGCGCACGCATGCAGAGAATGAGTTTGTGGTTCTCAAAAAGGTAAGCCGGGCTACGGAGGCAGGAAACAAAACAGTTTCCTTTGAAGGGGTGGGCATTTCACTTTGAAACCCAGTGCAAGACCGTGCCCTCCACTAGTGGACATGGTTGTATTTCTGTAGGGAGAGACCATGCTGAGTAACTGGTCTGCCACAGGGGTAATAAAAGACTGAATGAAAACGCTTTTGAACTCACTGGACTGGAGGATATGACTGGGCAAACCTTGCCCCAATGTTCTCCACTGAGAATTGCTCCCCCCCCCAATCTCATTTAATTTTTTGATTTGGAGAGCAGTTGGAGATAGGGTAAAAAAAGGACCCATAATTTTTAGATTATGGAACCATAATTTTTAGTTTAGATAAAACTAAAAGTTGAACCTCTCTAGTCCGGCACTCTCTGGTCCGGCAACCTCTGTGGTCCGGCATGATTTGAGTTCGCCAGATGGCCACTTAGCATGGGTGTGGCCAAGTTTCCCACGGTCCCATAAAGTTTGTTTACAGCTGCCAGGCCTGGCTTTGAGTGTTCTGTGCTGTTATTTCGCTCTAATTTACACCCCCCGCCCCTCCCGCGCCATGTCTTCTCGGAGCACAGCAAGCAGTGGCCGTGTTGGTAATGCTGCTACCCCCCACCCCTCCCGTGCCATGTCTTCTCGGAGCACAGAAAGCAGTGGCCGTGTTGGTAATGCTGCTAGACAATATCGACCTCCCATGGTCCAGCAAATTCTCTGGTTCGGCCCCGGTCAGGTCCTGAGGGTGCCGAATTAGAGAGGTTCAGCCTGTATCAAGTTCTTAGGTGCTTTCACTTTGGAACCAGCATGTGAATAATCATGTTTTCTTGTTCATGTTGGACCATCGCTAATGAGTACTGGGTTTTATTAAATCACCTCCAGATATACTTTACCCTGTGTCAGTGCAGAGGGATGAACTACTCGGTGACTTTTTGGGGAGCTTTCTGGCCCTGCATTTCTACGATCCTGGAGTCTGGCTTTACATGGCCGACAGAGATTCCCCTTGAGAAATCTGTCGGCCACAAATTCAGAGTAGGCAGCTCCCATGTCAGTTTGTCCCTCCCCACCTCCCGACCCGACAGGGAAAAGAAGAGCAGGCCTGGTTGCCAAGAGTGATGTAAAGACAGGGGTACCACCTAATCAGGTGCCATAGCAACCCCCTGGTGGCATCCCCCAAGGCGCTCAAAGACATAGAAAAAGAAAGTCCATAGTGCCTGCTTATTACCTACCTGGAAGAGGCTTACGCCTCTTTGAGGCTACGTCTAGACTGCCATGATTTTCCGGAAATACTTTTAACGGAAAAGTTTTCTGTTAAAAGCAGTTACAGAAAAGAGCATCTAGATTGGCACGGACGCTTTTCCGCAAAAGCACTTTTTGCAGAAAAGCGTCCATGGCCAATCTAGACGCACTTTTGCGCAAAAAAGCCCCAATTGCCATTTTCGCCATCGGGGCTTTTTTGTGCAAAACAAATCTCAGCTGTCTACACTGGCCCTTTTGCACAAAAGTTTTGTGCAAAAGGAACTTTTGCCCGAATGGGAGCAGCATAGTATTTCCGCAAAAAGCACCGATTTCTTACGGTAGGAAGTCAGTGCTTTTGCGGAAATTCAAGCAGCCAGTATAGACAGCTGCCAAGTTTTTCCGGAAAAGCGGCTGATTTTCTGGAAAAACTGGCCAGTCTAGACACAGCCTGAGAGTGTAAAAGGGCCATAACGTAACAGTGAATTAAATTTACACTTGATATAAGACCCCTGTTTATGGCCATGCTGATGTAAAGTGGTCTTTGGGTGACCACGCAAAAAGCTGTTTGTTAAAAGAAGGCCATCATCTTTCCATGGATTCGGAAGATACTTAGGCCAGGCCCACACTAGGGGGGGAAGTCGGCTTACGGTACATAATTCCTGATGCATAAGAAAATGTAGCAGGAATTGTGTACTTTAAAAATGATGAAAACAAGGTACCTTAAGCTGAGCTTCAGCACCGTCCTCACTTCTAGGGGTTAATGGGAGGAGCTCTCCCTTTGATTACCCTTGCTCCTTGTGAGGAGTAGGAGTTCCAGTGTGGCTGGGAACACGCTCAGTATTTGATTTAGCAGATCTTTACTAGACCTGCTAAATCGAACTCCGAAAGATTGATCCCTGTAGTGTTGATCGTTGAATTGAAGACGTGGCCTTAGGCTATCCCCTATGAAACACCAGAGGGTCTGGAGAGAGCCTTACATCTGTGACACCCTGCCCCAAAAGCCTGACCTGTAGAAGTCTGTGAGCTTCCTTCTGGTAGCTGCATTTCTCCGTGTCTGAATCAATACCCTTTCTGATTGCATGTGGCTGCTTTGCAGGATGTGGACTGTGTTTTTATGACCAAAGAGGACCTGGAGGCCAAGCTGCTGCAGCTGAGACAGCATTTGGAGTTCCTGAAATGCATTTTTCTTGAGGTAGGCTCTCTGCCCACTGTAGCCGCATGGATATTGGCCCCAGCGCAATAGTCACCCGTGACTTTTCCGAGGCTGCATGAAGGGTCGTTACGATGAGGTTTAATGCAGGCAAAATAATTTTTTTTATAACATTTGTGGCCACTCCTAGAAAACATTATAGATCACCCTTTACACCAGATATTTCTTTATGAACAAGAATTATTATATAACAATGCCATGTGCTTTCAGACATGTCTGGAGACAAAGGGACAGGGTGTTTTGTCTACATCTGGTTGGGAAATCAAGTTTATTTTTGCCTGGAAAAAATTAACTTTTTGTTGAAGCAGTGAAAACCAGACACTCAAACAGTCAAACTGACATTTTTTTGGAGGAAAATATTCAACGGTTCAGATTTTCACTGTTCCAGCAGATAACTATGGAAAACAGCTCCTTTCTGCTAAAAAGGTTTCTTTAGACAGAAACTCAATTATCTGCCAGAAAAAAAGCTTTGTCTGAAAATGTTTAGCAGCCGCAGTCATAGATGTTGGGTCTTTGCGACTAACAGATTTATTTGGGCATAAGCTTTCATGGGTACAAATTACTTTGCCAAACTCCTAGTTGTTTTCGCAGGTACAGAGTAGGCCAAGGTCTATCTTAAAGGGGAAGGTCGAATTAAATTATGCAACTCCAGCTCCGTTAATTACGTAGCTAAATTTGATGTACCTTAATTCCAGTTTCCCCATCATCCCCACAGCAGGAGACCAACGGGAGCAAACGCTCCTGTCGGTTTCCCTTACTCCTGACAGGAGCAGGAATACTGGTCGCTGACGGGGGCGCACTCTGAGTTTGATTTAGCAGGTCTTTGCTAGTCCTGCTAAATCAAATTCCAGGAGATTGATTGAGATAAGCATCAGTCTTGCTCAGCATGAAGATGTAGCCTAACATGGCTAGCCCTTTGATGATATGAGGTGCATGGTAGTAGAATTTCATGCCCGGTGTCTCTGCCACACAATGTTCATAGTCTGAAGAATGATAAAATATATGATACTCTGTAATAGCTGTATTGTAAATCTCTACAGCCTTCAACAAAATGACACTTGGAGGCAAGTAGGTGCCACCCACCAATCCTCACACTCTACAGGAGCTGGAAACAGACCAGCTACTGGGGTAACTCAAGCGTTATTTCTGAGTTAAGGGAAAACTTTTTTCCTTGGAGATCAAATGTACCTGCGTAGAATTTGGCCGAATACATTAATGGCACAGTTCTTGATAAGATGGGTAGGGATCTGTACGTGAAGGGGCTCTAATGTTCGGACCTGGATGAGACGTTATGCAACTTGCAGGAGCGTGCCCAAATGGATGGCCAACTTTGCGACACCGCCATTGTTTTGGAAATGGACAACAACCGAAATCTGGACCTCAGCGGCATTATCCACAGCGTGAAATGCTGTTACGAGGAGATCGCACAACGGAGCAAAGGAGAAGCGGAGGCTTTCTACCAAACTAGAGTGAGTAATCACATGGCCATGGGGGGCAGCGCCAAAGCCGTAAGGTGGTCACGCTAGTACTTCCCCAAAATCACGAGCACAGGACGATTTCCTTCTCCTGGAAGCAGGAGACCTGCTGAAAAAACACCACCTTCCCTCTCTGCAAGTGCAGACACATATCTTCTGACGAGGTGGTGGACACTCAATAGATTCCTCTCCCGTCTGCTCAAATAGAATTGGAATATTTGTGACGAATAATCTGCCACATCTACCATTCTATTACAAAGCAGTGATAGATAATTAGGAGACTCTTTAACAACTTTGATCTGTGATTGATTATTTTTATTAAACTCCAGGTATGGATTATGGACTACCCGAACGCATAACAAAACCATCGTCCGCGTCTAGAAGAGTGTTCCGTCTACGTTACTTAAATTTGGGCCCACCCATGAACGCCATATGGCGCCTTGTCTTGTTTGCACTCATATAGTGTGTCTAGACTAGCAAGTTTTTCCGGAAAATCAGCCGCTTTTCCGGAAAAACTTGCCAGCTGTCTACACTGGCCGCTTGAATTTCCGGAAAAGCACTGACTTCCTACTGTAAGAAATCAGTGCTTTTTGCGGAAATACGATGCTGCTCCCATTCGGGCAAAAGTCTTTTTCCAAAAGACTTTTGTGCAAAAGGGCCAGTGTAGATAGCACATTAGTGCATTTTTGCGGAAAAGCGCGTCTAGATTGGCCACGGACGCTTTTCCGCAAAAAGTGCTTTTCTGGAAAAGCGTCCTGCCAATCTAGACGCGCTTTTCCGAAAATGCTTTTCACGTAAAACTTTTCTTTCAAAAGCATTTCCGGAAAATCATGCCAGTGTAGACGTAGCCATAGTGTAGCTCTGTATTTTCCCGTGAGTGGAAGTCTGTAGGCGGGTCACAACGATTGTTACCCATCTTGGACCGGATGCTGTTCATTGACAGCGATTCTCTTATGTCTGAAATTCAGCTTGAGGAGTTGAGCACCAACCGGGGCAGATTCTGCGATGACCTGAAAACGATCCAGGGTGAAATAACGGAGCTGAAACACGTGATCCACAAGCTGCAGGGTGACACTGACAAAGTGAAGAAAGAGGTAGGACAGATTCGTTGGCTCGCGTGCACGCTCCTGTGTTGATTGCTCTGACCTAGGTGTAAAATTCACAGCTGTTCAGAGGACCAGGACCAAACTCCTGGGCCCGGGAAGTGCCAATTCCGAATAAAACCTGATGGTTGGCACGGGAATGAATTTCACCTTTGGTGAGCTTTGCCGCTTACTTGGGAGAGATCTCATAAGATGCTTGGTTTTGTTTATTATTAACATCTCAGAGGGCCACTGAAAGTGCTAACTGGGAACCAGGAGGTCCCTTGTTTCAGGCAGTTCGCTTGCTTAGCATCCTCTGGCTCCCAGAACATGAACTGAAAACCGGTGTTACGTGAAGACGCGGGTTTGCAAGTTTAATGTTGCTGCGGACAAAAAAAAAGAAAAGAAAAAAAAAGAAAGACCAGTGGTTGAAGGCCATCTGAGATGTGTCTATTACGATGCTCAAATGGGTATTTAGAGACGTTATTTCCTTGTTCCCATAATATAAGAATGAGGGGTCACCGAATGAAATTAAAAGGCAGCAGGTATAAAACAAACCAAAGGAAGTTTTTCTTCACGCAGTGCACGGTCAACCTGTGGAACTCCTTGCCACAGGATGCTGTGGAAACTAGGACTTGAACAAGGTTCAAAGAAGAGCTAGATAAATTCATGGAGGTTAGGTCCATTAGTGGCCAGGATGGGTAGGAATGGTGTCCCTAGCCTCGGTTTGTCTGGGAATGGATGACAGGGGAGGGATCATGTGAGGATTCCCTGTTGTGTTCCCTCCCTCTGGGGCACCTGGCGTTGGCCACTGTGGGCAGACAGGACACTGGGCTGGATGGGCCTTTGGTCTGACCCCGTCTGGCCGCTCTGATGTTCAGTATTGATGAAGAGCTGCACCGTGACTCTTTATCCGCGCAGATTGCCTGTCTGCAGACGGCCATTGCCGACGCGGAGCAGCGCGGCGACCTCGCCCTGAAAGACGCCAGGGAGAAGCACATCGACCTGCAGAACGCCTTGCAGCAGGGCAAGGACAAACTGGCCTGCATGCTGCGGGACTACCACGAGATGCTGAATGTCAAGATGGCCTTGGATATCGAGATAGCGACCTACAGAACGCTGCTGGAGGGCGAAGAGACCAGGTGAGGGCACCACAGACAGGTGCTGGGGCACGGTCCCACTTCAAGGAGCCCCGTTAGGGTCCGCTTGGCACATTAATATGCTCAGTAGGGAAGAGCAACCTCCAGACGTAGACACTGATGGAGCGGTGGAGGAAGAGGGGGTCTCACGGCAGAGATAGAACCCTAACACTGGAAGGGACCTCGAGAGGTCATCGAGTCCAGTCCCCTGCCCTCCCGGCAGGACCAAGCACCAGCTAGACCAGTGTTTCTTAAACTGTACGCTGCGGAGAAGAACAGAATTAAAAATGGCCGCCCTTAAAGGGACAGGCGACCTTTTCCTTTCTTTTTTTGCTCAATAACTTTCCTGACCCTTTTTTTTCCCAATAACGCTCCCCCCGTCCCTTTACCCCCTGCCCCCTTTTTTTTTTGCTCAATAACTTTCCTGACCCTTTTTTTCCCCAATAACGCTCCCCCTGTCCCTTTTCCCCCCGCCCCCCTTTTTTTTCTGCTCAACAAAAACTCCTTGGTGTCCCTTATAAAAAAAAATTATTGTCCGGTGTTCCGGTGTTAAAAAAGTTTAAGAAACCCTGGTCTAGACTATCCCTGTCGGGTTTCTGTCCAACCTGCTCTTCCATACTTCCAGAGATGGAGATTCCACAACCTCCCCAGGCAATTTATTCCAGTGTTTCACCACCCTGACAAAGTTTTTCCTAATGTCCAAACTAACCCTCTCTTGCTGCGGTTTAAGCCCATTGCTTCTTGTCCTGCCCTCAGAGGTCAAAGAGAACCATTTGTCCCTCTCCTCCTTGTAACACCCTTTTAGGTACTGGAAAGTCACTCTCATATCCCCTCTCAGTCTTCTCTTTTCCAAACTAAACAAGCCCAATTCTTTCGGTCTTCCCTCGTAGCTCATGTTCTCCAGACCTTTCATCGTTGGTGTAGCTCTCCTGTTTCTCCCCATCTTTCTTGAAACGCTTTCCTGGGAGATATTAGGGTTACATTTTTGAAACTCAACAAAGCGACTTAGGCACTCATGTCCCATTTTCCAGTGTGAAGCAGGCTTTTGAGAGGCTAAGCGCCCTAGATTTTGAATGGCCCATAGGTTTCCGTAGCTGGAATTTCCAAGCGCACTCAGTCCTCACCAGATTTTTTATGGGATTTTGGTGCCTAAGAACCTAGAGGTCCCTTTTGAAAAGAGGATTTCGGCTCCTTGAGCCTACAAGTTCGAAAATTCCCCAGAGGGCTCCTGGGCTGTGGGTTTCGAAGGTCAGATGGGTTAATTTTCTGGTGTGTTTTTTCTCCCCTTGGCAGGATATGCACAGGAAACCCCGCCAACGTCGGTGAGTAAACTGCCGAGTCGCCTTGTTTCCGTAGTTCTTCCAGCGCGCTGACACGGCTGATTCGCCTTGTTTCTGTAGTTCTTCCAGCGCGCTGACGCAGCTGTTCTCAACGCCTGCCCATTTCTCTCTCCCCCAGCTGTGGTCAGTGGTGGGCACCCTGTCGGGGACTGCAGACCCCCCTTTGGAGCGCCATGCGGCCATCTCCAGAGAGGATTCAGCCATGGGCCAGGAGTTTTCGCCGCCACTGACGGATTCAGCGCCCAGAGCGCCGAAGGCATCGCCAGGATGGGCGGGAGCTACGGCGCCAGGACCGTCGTGTGTTCTTCTGGGAGGGGGTTTAACGTGGGGGGAGCAGGCAGCTGCGGCGTCGGGTACGGCATGGGGGGGTTCAGTTCCGGCAGCGGGGGCTGCAGCTACCGACGCGTGCTCAGCTCTGAAGTCTCGGGCGCCGGAGGCGAGGCGGGGAGCCATTCCGTGGGCGGGCCTGGTTCCGTCGGGGTGGTATGCGGCTCCGGGGAGGCAGCCGCCTGCGGGGAGGGGGCCGGGAACGTGGGTGGCGCTCATTCTGCCATGGAACATTTCGGCACGGGAGGCGTCGGCAGCTTGAGCGGGGGGATTCACAGCAGCGGAGGGGCCTACTCCTCGGGCATGCGGATGGTGTCGGTCAGCTGCGGCCGAAAGATCCTCCGATAAAAGCCCCCCAAAGAGCCTCCCTTGCTGGAATGAAAAATACCCCCTGCCTTCTGACAACCCCCCTCCACCGCTGACAGGAACCCTGCCTTAGAGAAACAGCTCTGTCCAACGCCGCAGTGCCGACAGACACCGTGTCCTTCGCAGAGTAGCTTGATGCAGCGCTAGTCCTACTGGCTTAGGCAACGTTGTTTAGTTCAGTGCGCCGGTGGCTGTCGAGAGGCAGTACCTTGGCTAGCAAACCCGTCTCCTTTGCCTGATAATTTTGCCCTTCTCCCCGGGTTTTTCTTGCATGACTGTCACTTGGGATCACATTGCGCTGGGACCCAGAACTTTCCTCCTTCCCTGGTGCCGGGTGAAGCATTTCAGAAAGGGAAGGTTCCAGATCCACCTTCAGCTATCTCTGAGGCCAGCTCGACACTAGGGGATAAGATTGAATTAAGATACGCAACTCCAGCTAGCTAGAGGCGATGTACTTTGATTCAAACTTTGGTGCCACCACCACAGCGGAAAGCCAAGAGGAGAAACGCACCAGGGCGCCCTCGGAGTTCGATTGAGCGGGTCTTTACTAGACCCGCATAATCGCATGCCAAAGGATCGATCTCCAGAGTGTCGATCCACAGGTGAGGATCGACGTGGCCTTCACTTCTCTCATGACACCAGGAATCTGGGGGAAAGGGGATGTGAGGTTTAGCTGGTTTGGATGAGTTTGCCTAATCGTTCCCATGACATTGGCTTCCTCGATTCGATGTAATTTGCTCAAACTCATTTTGTAAGCGATTCCTCTGCCGTGACTGTTCCTGTGTGCACATTGGATGGAAAGGCCTGTGCTTTTTCTGTATGTACAACTGGAGCGCTATCGACTGTCCTTGGCTGCCTATGGACCCCTCTACCCTTTCTGCTGTATCTCCAATAAACTGAATGCACCATTCAAACTGGGTTTCTCCAGGGTTGGTTTTTTTCACTCCCACCTGAGGTTTCGAACAAGGTTACTCCTGGCCAAACAGAAACCCCCAAGTCGGGTGGCTTTGTCAATAGGGGGATACAATTTCCAAGAGCGCCTGTACGGCTGAGCCTGCCTTTCAGTGAGGCTGTGAAGCAGATTCTCAAAGACTCCCATTAAAAACTACTGGGATTGCGCTGTTGAACGGCCGTTTTTCCTCTCAGAAAAGCTCCCCTAGGATCCTCAGGTCCTGACCCACAAAGGTAGTGGAGGTGGCTGGAAACTCCAGGCTCCTTTGAATCTCGGCCCTCCTCCCCGTCAGCGGGCCTGGCCCTGGCTCTGTGTGACCCCTCTTGCCACGTTCTGTCCACGTCTCCGCCTCACCCCTTGTCTCCACCATTGACCTCCCGACCATTGGCCTTGATGCTTTGATTCTGCTGCCCTGGCAGGCCCATGGCTCTGACTCTAGAATCCAGGCCGGCCTCGCTTGGAGGAGCCTAGAAAATCGGGGGGACCATGTGATCCACACAGCCGGTGTGAGGGGCCCCTCCACAGCGAGTGAGACCGGCCCCTCGGAAAGGGAGCCCCCGAAGCCAGCCTGCCAATGGGAGATGCCAACCAGAGAGGTATATCCTCTCAGCTCCAGGCCTGTCTCTACGTGGGAACCCTAACGTTCCCAAGGCAACCACAGCGCAACGCTTTACACCAGCTGAGGGCCTGGTCTCATGCACCGGGTGCCCACGAAAGGCCTTCAGCTCTTCAGTGCTTTGGATTTACACCCCCGTCACTCCATTGGCTCCGGAGGAGGAGATCCGGATTGCCAGGGGTGTGAATTCAGCCCTGACCCGGCAGTTTCCTCTACACACACATGAGGGAGGGATGGTCGAGGAAGGGAACCGGGGCTTTCCCCCAGCCCTTGCATTACTTGCATACCTCACGCCCAATCAACCCAATGGGAGCGGGAGCCAGATGTGAGGTTCCTCGCTTATGCCGGGCCAGGCCACACCCTTAATCTCCTATTTCTTCCCCTGTATTGAACATCCAAATTGAACTGCTTCATCAGCTTCAGGGTAATTCTCCTTCACGGCGACCAAACCAGCCTGGAGGGACTCCGACGCGCCCATCGTCCTTGCTTGCGGTGTTTCGTCTATTGCCTCCAGTAGCCAATGCGTTCGAGGTTTATGAACTCGGGGCAAGACCTCCGAGGACACACATCTGGCCCCAGGCTCCGTCCGTGCGCTTTTACACCAGCCGAGAATTTGGCCCTGGAATTAGAAGCTGGATTTCTGGACTCAAACATTTACCCGCCTAATTTGACGGCACGGGCAAAAATTTCTTCATTTGACTCTCGGTGGTTTCAAACCAGCAGTTGAGCAAAGCACTTAAGTACGGAACTTGTTTTGCTTTAAGCACGTAACTCCCGCTGGACTTAAGCAAGTAGTTAAGTGCTTTTCGGGCCAGAGAAACCAGGTCAATAGGCTTTTAGGTCTTAGCCCCCCAAACAGCTTCAGTGCATGAGGTTGTGTCTCTACAAGGCCGGGAACTGACACGGCAGTGATCGATTCACCGGTTATTGATTTATCCTGTCTGCTTAGGCAGGAGTTCTTGGACAAACTGACTGACAGACGGACAAACCCTCTCAAATAGATAGTAGATTTGTACTGCTGTAGGGTATGTCCAGACTGCATCCCTCTGTCAGCAGAAGGATGCAAATTAGGCAGGTTGACGCTGCAAATGAGGTGGGGATTTAAATATCCCATGCTTCATTTGCATAAAAATGGCCGCTGCTTTTTGCCGCCGCGGCACTTTGTCGGCAAAAAGCGGCGGTCTAGAGGGGGATCTGTGGAGAAAGAAAGCCTTTTTCGACAGATCCCTTATGCCTCCTGCAAGGAGGTTTACAGGAGCTGTTGAAAAAGGCTTTTTTTCTCGACAGATCCCCCTGTAGACCGCCGTTCCCGTAGTGTCTAGGAACCCCAGGCCTGGATCCAGGCCCCATTGCGTGAGGTGCTGCACAAACCCAGGAGAAAAAGGCAGTGACTTCCTAGCTTATCATGGGCAAATGAGTGTGAGAAATGCCATGCCTCGCTTTTCTGTGCTGTTTTTCATCAGTAGTTCCCAAAGCAGTTCACATGATTCACATTTATGTGTACAAATGAGGAACCAGAGACAGAGCGTGTTGAGAGATCTTGCCACAGTCACCCACCTAAGCAAGGAATGGAATCCAGGTCTCCCGAGGGCCCAGGCTCTAGCCACTAAGCCATACTACCCTATGAGCAATCAGTAGGAAAACGGCACCGCTCCTAGTCCCTCAACAGAGCTGTCTCCATCACTGATCGTCACGCCAGGGCGGCTGCCAAACAGCTGTTCTCTGCCTCCAAGCCAGGAATCCTGGTGAAATTTGTGTTGAGCATTGGTAAGGAGGAGACTTTTAACGGCACTAGTAGGATATTAATTTCAGTCAAATTAATTTAGACAAATCTCCCATTCACCTTGCTAATGAATGCATTGTTTTAGCTAGGGGCGCTTTGAAGCGAATATAAAACGCCACATGCATAGGTGATCCGTGGCAGCCCTGAGGATTATGCCCCTGCCAAAATTTTAATTGCTAACTGGGGAGCCCCCACATGCCCTCTCCTACCGGTACCCCTCCCCACCCGGCACCAGGCACCCCTGACCAGATGGATCAGCCAGGAAATTGACGTATTCCACTCCTCTCTGTTCCTAGCTGCACACACTCTGAATTGGTAAAACTAACTAGCATACTGGGTCACCTCGTTATTTGTGTCTGGGCCTCACGCTCAAGAATTGGGTTTTGTTGCCACCCGGCACATGCTCACTCACCGGCTCTGCATGACGGCCATGGGGGGCGAAGGGGTAAGTGAAACCCACGTAGGAGAGCTCCACCGGGGTGTGAAATGGATCCTCAAAACTCGGCTCATTGTGCGGAGTAAGTTCATGTCGAAGCAACATTGTTTTGCTGCCGGAGAATCCAAGACTCAATGTGCAGCCACAGCCAAAAAAGCAAACAGAATGTCAGGAATCATTAAAAAAGGGAGAGAGAATAAGACAGAGAATATCTTATTGCCTCTATAAAAAACCATGCTATGTCCACATCTCGAATACTGTGTACAACTGTGGTTGCCTCATCTCCAAAAAGATCGCTTGGCATTTGAAAAGGTTCAGAAAAGGGCAACAAAAAGGATGAGGGGTTTGGAACGGCTGCCATATGGAGAGAGACTAAAAAGACTGGGACTTTTCCACTTAGAAAAGAGGAGACGAAGGGGGTGTGTGATGGAGATCTATAAAATCATGACTGGTGTGGAGAAACTGAATAAGGAAAAGTTAGTTCCTTGTTCCCATAACACATAACAATTGAAATGAGTAGGTAGCAGGTTTAAAACAAGCCAAAGGAAGTATTTCACGTAGTGCACAGTCAACCTGTGGAACTCCTTGCCACAGGATGTTGTGAAGACCAGGACTTTAACAGGGTTCAAAAAAGAACTAGATAAATTCATGGAGGTTAGGTCCATCAATGGCTATTAGCCAGGATGGGTAGGAAGGGTGTTCCTAGCCTCACTCAATGATTCCCTGTTCTGTTCACTCCCTCTGGAGCACCTGGCATTGGGCACTGTGGGCAGCCAGGACGCTGGGCTAATGGGAACTTGGCTCTGACCCACCGGGCAGCTGGAAAAGGAGCGGTTAGGTAACTGTGGGGCGGGGCGGAAGCTTTTCGGCCAGGCCGCCGCACCCCAGCACCGCAGGTGCGTTTCGCTTCGGTGAGCGCCTAACGAGCGCATTTTGACACCTGCCTGCTGGGCGTGTCAAACCCACTCAGGTGCTCAGCGGACGGCTTTGCCTCCAGGCCACCCAGCCCACCTCGCCGACAGGATAAAAGGGGCCAGGATCCGACGGGGTGCTCACCGCGGGGCGCCGTTCTCCGACTCCGCTCCCTGGCCCGCCGCCGCACGGACCTCGCCCGCCGCGATGAGCTGGCAGTCCGGCAGCCTCCGCTCCGGCGGGGGGCACAAGAGTTTCAGCGCCGTCTCCGCCGTGGTCCCAAGTAGCCACAGGCTCAGCTTCAGCTCCGGCACCGTCTCCAGAGGCGGGGGGGCGG